GTCGCAGCAGGTGGTGGTGCGATGGCAGCGTCTTGGTGTGCTAATATTTTTAAGAGTTCTCCTTTTCCACGAGTGGGGCCCAGCCTCACCTGAATGATCAGCTGCCACTGCGTGTGTCCCGTAGATTTCATAACACGGTGGTAGTTTTTTTTTTCGCTTGAATTTGGCGATGCCAGGATGTAGAAATGTTTAGACCATAACCCAGTTTACCCTTGCAAAGGAACAATGCTGTTTCATATGTCGAAATTAATTTATTTTAGCTCCTTAAATATAGTATAGAACAGAATTAAATAACTTCAGATGAAGAAGTGAATCTGAGAGAAATAAGTGAGCAATGTACGAGGATAATTTGGCACATTAAGGTTAGGATACCCACAGTGTAATTCATTTGGGAAGCAGTCATATAGCTCTCGCAAACCACACAATAGATAGAAATGTAGAACCATAAACATAAAATGTAGAAACCGGACTCGCAATGTTGCTGTTTCTTAAGGGAAAGAAGTCGGTGTGCAGAGAACAACTAAGGCAGTGGGTGGCACGGCCCAGCGGTAACGCATTCTCCACTTGATACAGATGTTCAGAGTTTAACTTCGGCAAGCCAACCTTGTTCATTTGAGTATATTAACTATAATTTAAGCGCTGTATACTTCAAATAGGACGTTAAAGATCCCATGATCGCATTCGAAGAAATGTTTGCGAAATTTAAACAAATATTTGCATATTACTTAATTGTGAAACACGTAGTAAACACCACCCCCTACTACAAAAACTTAACAGAACCCTCCTGAATAAGAGTTCAGACTCAGCTAAGCTTTTTCGGGTAAACAAGCATCATAATAATAACTGAGGTATGCCAAGAACTAAATCTAGGCATCCTGGAAGTCAGAGTAGGCAATATTGATGTATAGATATTGATATAAAAATGCAGGGGTTTTTTTCTTTGAAGATATCCTGTGCTATTCTTTGATGATTTGACTCAGAGTTAAAAGCACGATGTGCTTGCAATAACTAAGACCATAACATCTCACCCGGCCTCAGAGAGCACAACACTGATTCACATATATGACATAGACATCTTTAAGAAAGATTCATCCAGATAAACATAACATATCTTGTCTTTACTCCTTAAACGATAAAAAAAAAATCTGAATTTAAGCAAGCTGCCATACTTTATGTACAGGCAGTTCCCGGGTTACGGAAGGGTTAGTTTCCCGAGAATGTTCCGTAACCTGGATTTTTGATATGTTGGAAACTGAACAATTTCCCCCCAAAATCAAGACAAAATCCCATAGCCGGAAATAGTTGTGCCTCCCCTACCCGATTACTCGTTTTTTTTCTCTCAGTACTGTATCGAGCTGTGTACGTTTTTTATTGCTACCTGTATCGTATCGCTGTACATACACTGCAAGATGCGCCTGCCATTCTTCCACTCCGTTGGTGGGTGTACATCTAGGACCCCATTCAAACCCACAGTGGCCTGGTCTCAGCTAGCTGAGGATAGTTGCAAGCAGGAATTTCAACATCGCTTGCAGATGGGGTTAGCATCGTGCCCCCTCCTGATGCTGAGGGGAAATGGGTGAGGTTCAGGACTGTGGCTCATGCAGCTGCAACGGCTGCATTGGGCATATGGTCCAGACCTCCCCAGAGACCCTGGCTGAAGGGGAGGTGTTCCGGCTGGTTGAGGGAAAACGACAGGCCCACTCCCGTCATCTACAACATCAAATGAAGAGGCTTACCGCAGCCTTCGCTCGGAGATTCGGAGAGCCGTACAAGGATGAGTGGTGGGTGCGGGTTGTTGAGGAGGTGGAATCTGCCTCAGTAGCCCGCAATCACAAATCACTATTTAATTCCATCCACAAAGTTAATTGCAGCGCCTCGCCTATCACCATTCTTAAGGAAAAAAATGGTAATCTGATCTCCCATCCCCAGGAACAGGTCTGCAGGTTTGCACAGCATTTTTGTGAGATCTTGGGGGGGGGGGGCATTCCCTCAGCCCAGACAACATCATGGGGGAAGGCGGGGACGACCCTGCCTCAAATATTAGAAGAAGTAGCCACCCCTTCTAAATGGTCGGCTGAGGTGCCATCTGTGGAGGAAGTGCGAGGGGTGATCCGAAGTCGGAGACCAGGAAAAGCGGCAGGCAGAGACGATCTTCGAAGCGAAATGCTGAGGGAGGATGGCACCTGTGTGCAGACTGCCCTACATGACAGCATCACTACTGTCTGGACCACAGGATGGGTTCAGTAGGATTGGAAGGATGACCTTGTGGTCCCCCCTCTTTAAGAGGAACATCTCTCTTCTCAGTGTGTCGGGAAATGTCCTGGTCAGGATTATTCAACATTGTCTTGCCAGGCACGCTGAGGAGAGGCTTGCAGAACCCCAATGTGGTTTAAAACCAGGGCAGTTTTTCATGGATGCCATATTCTTTGTACGTCTGCTACAGCAGAGGTGTAGGGGATTCCAACAAGACCTACATCTCTGCTTTATTGACCTGGTCAAGGACTATGATACCATGAACAGGCGATGGCTGTGGGCAGTTTTTCATGCTTTTGGAGTCCCTGATTCTCTGCTCACAATCATTAAGAGCTTTCATAATGGTGGGAAGTCCTGGGTAAAGCTGCGTGGCCAGGAGTCAGAGCCATTTCCTGTTCACCTTGGGGTGTGACAGGGATGTCCTCTGGATCCCACATTATTTAACATCATCTTTGACCACATAGTTCAAGAAGCTTTCCATGGTTGTACCAGAGGAATTTCCATCTGGTACAGATACAACGGGAGCCTGATCGATGCCTGGGTGTGGTCGAGGGATTGCTCCCTATTGGTCAACCATGTTATGCATGCTGATGATCTGGTGATTGCTGCTCACTCAGAGGGGTTGGAGGCGCTGCTGCTGAACCTGGAGTGTTCCACGAAGAAATGGGGTCTTATCATCAGCCCCACCAAAACTAAGCACCTACCTGGGTATTTTGTGCAAACCAAACTCTCCACCCCCTCAGCTCCCAATTGGTGATGGAGCAGTTGTGGAGAGAGTGTCCCATACCTGGGCAGTGTGCTTATGACCAGCTCCGGTTTAACAGCAGAGGTCTCACTCCGAATCAGTCGGGCGGCATTATCTTTTCATCGGCTGCGCAATGTTATGTAGAAGCTACCTGGTCTGTCACTCCACACGAAGCTTTCGGGTCTTCTCAGCCACAGTCATGCCCTCCCTTCTCTATGCTTGTGAAACATTGACCCTTCTAATGGAACATCTGCGCTGGTTAGAAACATTCAGGCTGGCATGCCTACGATCCATCCTGGGTTTAACCAGGCAGGAAAGATTTGGACACATTCCGATCAGTGAACTCTTCTGGCAGGCAAGGCTGCGTTGGCTGGGTAATATAGCCCGCATGCACAGCCACACACGCATGCACACAAAGACAAAAGTGGAGTAGGCTCGTCTTCAGACACACACACGCACACATACACATACAAACACATACACACAGTAAATAAGTCATAAAATAAACTTAAAATGAAGAAAACTAACAATAGAAACATGGGGGTAAAGAGATAGTTCTAAGCATAGAAAACGAACAATTACGTAATGCAACAAAACGAAAATAATTGTGTAACACTACAAAAAATTCCATTTACCTTCATCCTGATGAAGCCTGGGCTCAGTGACAGCGGCACAGTATTCACCGGCAACCTCACCACGCTGCACTATTTGTGCTTGGGTAACTAATGCAAACATTTCCGCATATAGATTTTTTGACTTGCTTAACGGAAGCATTTCCGTAAAGTCGAATTTCTGTAAGTCGGGTCTTCTGTAACCCGAGGACTACTTTTATATTTGCATACAGGATTACCTGGCTGGACTCGGTTTTATCAAACGCATGTTTCGGCCATACACATTTTACTGAATGAGGTCTGTTCTCCGGCACTTGGGGGGGTATGTTGAGGCTATATGCGGTTTGATGCTGCCAAGATTCTCATCTCCACGTTGAAAACTAGTGCATGTTCCGCTCGTAATGTACGGTACAGTAGAGGCTGCGGATGAAAATATCGACGCCATCTTCCCTCCCCGACACTCTCATGCCATCTCACTCTTTAATCATGGCCCCTTAGCGCAAGATGATTGGTGGTGATTGTAGTAAAAAAAATTTAGAAAAGTTACGACTTTAGTACAAATAGTGCAGATAGGCTCGTGAAAGGTGAGCGCTACGTCCGTTGAAAGCTACACTGATGTGAATGAATCGACTATGAGAACGATTTATTGACCATGTTTTTTTCTGAATGTTCTTTGTGTGTTAATGTAACACATCCTCAACAAGCTCATGCATAACGCCCATGCTCACATACATTGCCGCATGCATGTAGCCGTCCGCTCGTTGAGGACGTTAGTCATATAGACGCCTAGAAGACAAATCATTAACATTCAAGTGACAGTGTTGGGAGCGAGATTTTGGCATGAGTGTCACGGTGCGGCAAAACCAATGGTGACGGTGTTTTGTGTTGAGGTGACATGGAAAGAGTGTACACACACACAACAAACGGAGAGTGACTCGGTATCCTTTATTACAATACCAAGGGCGGAAATGTTGTAGAATTTTCTAAACAAAGGGGGAAGGGGGGGGTGGTCATTCCGGACCCGAGGAAGGCAACCCTGTATTTCCCATGATCTATAATTATTGTTGTAACTTGCTGATGTGCCCCTACTGGTCATCTGTGAAAAAAGCTTCATGGTTCTTAAGATTCCTCCAGGATAAATAATAATCATTCTCAGAAAGATTCAGATTTGTCAAACGCGTTTTTGCCCAACACAGGATTTTCTGGGAATGTAACCCCCTCGTCCGGCGAGGTTTTCCTGTACTTTTGTTATTCAAGTCCCAAATAACCTCGGAATTGGACATCTATTTTGTTAAATGTATACTTAGCCTATTTTATTTTGTGAATATAATTTGGCATTTTCTTTGGAAGCATTTTACAGTTGGCTCTCTGTCTCCCTGTGGTCTGTGCAGCTGGCAGTCTATTTCTGCACAGGTGTGCTGGTGGATGAGGCTCTCTTCCGACATTATGCCCTCAACGTGCCACTCTACACGCACTTCACATCTCCGATCCGCCGCTACGCTGACCTGATTGTACATCGCCTGTTGGCGCAAGCCATTGGTACGTGCATCTGGTCTTTGCGGTTATCCATACACCACCTGTTAATGTTGCATATTTGTCATCAGTGATTTCATACATAACCGAATTTTCCAGGATAAAACATGTTCCGCACTCGGTGTATGTTGCATTACAGTAAACCCTTTATATGTGTGGGGGATACATTCCTGGAGAATGGCGCGAATATTACATTTTAAAATCCTCAAATATTAATACTTAAAGCTTTTGAGCAAAATTTTATTATAAAACCTGTGAATATTAAAGAGTTACTGTATAACACTTTGCTGCCTTTGAAGCACTTTTAAATAGGTTTGTATTAATATTTTAAGTCGAAATATAAGCGTGAATGGGAAATTGGTGTCATCGTCTTGAAATGTGCCACTGCAACCATTTTCTAGCAGCTTGGAGGTGAAAACTTTGAGGCCAAGGCTTAAAAAGAGAAATGTTTTAAAATGTGCCCCCCTCCCACCCACCCAGTCATTGGGGACTCAAAATAAAAAAAAATGTTTTTGGAGTTTGTTATAGTGGGGCCTACAATTAAAATAAAGCCTTTGCATGTTTATAGTTATAACATAACTTGACAATATTTATGCCAAATTTAAGCTTTCAATCCCAGAGCATCATGAGAATTTACATCAGTCATTAGGTCGTCACCAGTGATATATGATGTTACATTTTAGGCCAATGGCATTATATTGTAGAAATACATTTTCTATAATGTGCAGACAATTTCAGTACTAATTACAATTTTTTTAAACATTTTAGTGACTTGGGTGTTATATAGCAACATGACCAAACAGAATTGCGCATGTCGTACGATTACAGGTTGTGGAGATGCCGTGAATCATCAGCCTGCGGAGGAGGTGCAGAAACAAGCGAGCCACTGTAATGACAAGAAACTGGCTTCAAAAAAAGTCCAGGAGCTCAGTTCAGAGATGTTCTTTTCTGTTTTTGTCCGTGTAAGTATTGCATTTTTCAGAGGTATACATTTACAATTGGAAATTATATTTTTAAAGATTACAGTACAGTTTTTGAAGCATTTTGTAATTCTTACAAGCGCATACATTTTATGGTTTGGGTCGTATACAGTGTATAGCAGTCAACTTCCAAATGTTATAAATCAAAATTCAAAGTGATTTCCTCCTCAAATGAGCATCGAGGCAGTGCTCATTTCTTCTTAACACGTATGCTTTCGCAACCAATATCATCCACAATAGAGGTTTTTGGGTTAGATCGCATAAATATATAAATGTGTCATTAAAACCTGCCACCACCCGACATCTAACTAGTAAGGGTTGTCACGTGAACAGAACACGCCAATTCGTCACTAGTACAGCACACCGGTGTCTTGGAGAGCCAAGCCACAACATTTACAATCGGAGTACGGCGTTTCGCCAGTAATTACAACTAGCTTCATCAAGCGACAGCCAGATTTGTGGAGAAGTCTTCCTGTTTCGTTCCTGAAATAGAGGCGTAGATGTAGTGACCACGCTTCTGTGCTCTTGGGGGGGGGGATTACTGAGGCAAAGTACATTATGGATGTACATTATGCGAGCCCTTTGAACTTGTCCTTCCTGTCTATTGTGTTTATTTAAATAGCCCTACCAACATTGAAGTACACTACCCTTTGTAGGCATGCATTTAAATAATGTATTAATTGATTATTCGCTTCTACGCAGCACCAAAGGCGGTAGCTATCCAAACGGTAAAAGTTATTTTGATTTCTTTCAATTTCGATAGATTATCTAATTAGTCTTGACCAGTAGCAGCTAGTTTCGCACAAAACTTCAATATTATCAAAATCAATTGAGTGTCCTTGTTGGCATGCGTGTTCTGGTACTGCTGACAGTTGTATTTGGGAGAATTTAATATTTCTCTGATGTTATTTTAGTCTCGTGCTGATCATCGTCCTGTTTGCCCAACATAACATTTACCACACGTACAGCAGTTAATCCTGTACACCACTGGCTCGGCTCATTTGAGCAGGAAATTGCTTTGCCTTATGTTTGTGTAATACGTGTTTGAATTGTTGATGCAAATCTTAATTAAAGGAATGTATCTTCTACAGGAGAGCGGTCCTTTGGAAACAGAAGCCATGGTTATGGGAGTTCTGGACCAGGCATTTGATGTTTTATCACTGACATTTGGTGTTCAAAAGCGAGTTTATTGTAATGTAAGTAATCTCTTGACTAATAATTTAACTGCCCATGTCGGCTTCTGTTAGTTTGGCTTGTATGCATTTCTTCTTGCTATCTGAGAGCAATTAACTCTACAATCATACACAGATGGGGTTTTGCGGTAATTTAGGAATGCACTCAAAATAAAATGACACTGCCAGAAAGAGTGCATGACGAGCAATGTAAGTCGATAGTTTATGGATTAAAGTTTTCCTTGTGGATCGGGGCATCCTCGCAAAGTTTACTTTTGTTTTTCAAGGACCCTTTTTGGATCCAATGTTGTCTTTATTTCTAGTATTTCTAATTGCCCCGCTAGGCCGACACTCACATGCAACAAATCAGGTTTGTACAGAACGATCGGGGATCTTTTACTTGTTTGTGAAAATGTCGCTTGGAGCACACTGTCACGGTGTGAGGATTAATTTTATTCTCACTCGGGCTCGGTGGCACGTGCATTCGTCACAGCCAATAGCCACCAAGCCCAGCCCATAGTGTACTGCAACCGATATTTATTTTGTTAAGCGGTCATCTCAAACCAAACCATATAGGACAAAGTGTACATTTTACATGTGGTGTGAAATGTATCAGTTATATAAAGATTATTATATTTTTTGTTCCACGTGTTTACTCGGGAAAGCCTTTTTTCACTAGGCTCCTACCAAGCTTTCACAGTAGGGGGGCGATGTTGCTACGTGTCATTCCAATTATGTAATTTGCAGGTTTCAGCATTGGGATTTTTGAATATTACCTGTTACATTATATGTTTTTAGCGGTGAGAAAAACCTGGAGAACCCAGAGGAAATTATGTTATAGACCTTGCAAATACAGTGTCGTGTTTTCCATTGACCACCCTTGGGTTCCATATTGTTTATCTTGGGCATTTTTTTTTATTAAACTAAACTTTTTATTTTACCAGTTAAGGTCCACTGGGTTATATATCTCTTTTTCAGAAGCCACTTGGCCATAAATGATAGCTCAACGAAGTGGCTTATGTGGAAATCTATCGCAGTCAAATACTCTAAACACATGTTTATAAATGTGGAGGGAAAACCCGGAGGACCCAGAGGAAAATCTTCACGACCACGGGGAGAACATGCAAACTGCAAATAAACAGGCATCAGGGTCGAGACCGAATCCATCACCTCCTGTATACTCGGCGAGGTAGTTAACATCTCCATAGAGGTTGTTCACAATTGATTTGTATCGGCCTGATTGTAATCCTTAGAAGAGTCAAATCCCTGACATGGAAATATACTGCTGGATGAAGTCATCCACATGCCATGTTGGTCATGAGGGTTCCTTGACCATACTTTACCACTCAAGTCATGCCCCATTACAGAGGCTGATCTTGACTCCACTGATACCAATCGTTCGCAAGTCCACTCATCTGCAGTCCATCTGTACCATATGAAGCCCTTATCGTTGGTAGTTCATGCTTGTTACCTATTTAGCACCCAATATCCAAACAAGCATAATCAGCTTGGGCATGGAGTGGCTGGTTGTATAGACCACAAGTATATATACAAATTTGGAATTCCACACATTTATGGTAGCCATGACACTACTTGGCTGCAATTAGTCATAGGTTCAATGTATATATTACTTTTATTTAGTTTTGTTTTCCAAACTAAGACCATTTAAATTTTGAACTTAAAAACAACTTGGTTGTGTGTTTCTTCATGAAAAACTTCAGGGCTTGAAGAACCACCTGGTTTGATGCAATTAATTTTAGCCTGGAATTTGACACACTTGCCGTTTTTTTTTACAGGCTCTGCCCTTACGAACGTTTCATTTCACCAAACAAGGAAGGCAGCCAAAATTGACACTTGTTTGGGAACCAAAGTCACCAGAGCAGCAGCCAATCCAACAGGTGAGGATTCTCTTCATGCGTATTGCTGACAAGTTGGATATTGTTGTAGACGATTTGCCTCAGTTTTTTGGAAAGCATACACGGTACTTAAAATATAGCAACATCCTGATTTAAAGCTTTCATGACCGCAGTAATTCATACTCTTTGGTTCTTTTGGTAAAATCACGTAGATAGAAAAATAAATAATAGATCACGACATTTTGATCGCAGCAACAAGCAATCCTCTTCAGGTGAGAAAGAGAAACAAGCCACTGTGACGGGGCATTATATAGATCCGAAAGGGGGGGGGAGCTGCCGTAAGGGGCGAGAGAGTGGGGGTAAAATTCAAAGAGGGAACGAGGTGAGAGAGAGAAAAGAAGAAAAGACTTAGCAAACTTAGAAATGTAATGCAACTCAGAGAGTCGGCAAACACACCAGTTAACACTTTACCTGGTTGAACACATCCTTCCAAAGATTGCTAAATTTGCATCCATCTCGGTTGAAGTCATGTCTGAGTTGTGTGGAAATCCTACCCGTAGAGGCGTTTCAATCCTGATTTAAAGCTTTTGTGACTGCAGGAATTCATACTCTTTGGTTCTTTCGGTAAAGTCACGTAGTTAGAAATGATAGAAAAATATTTCTATCTACGTGACTTTCCCGAAAGAACCAAAGAGTATATAGCAACATATTTCACGTGCATATGTAATGTAGCTCTCAGAGACACCGTCTTGTTCAGTTATATGTAAATTTGTTATGAATAAAGTCCGCCGACTCACTGATAACTTAACGAGTAACCGCGAGTGACTATATACACTTGGGTAACTGAGATAGCTGTATTCTGAGACAACATAACTCTAGCCTTCCAAGACTACAAGGTGCACACTCCAGGATGATGAAGACGACCCGCTCCAAGGTGACGACGGCGATGGCAATTCCCCCACAACAGCAGCCCAGAGCCCCGGTTCGTGCCGGCTCTTATCCCCCTCACGACCCGGCCACGCCCCTATTCCCCGAACCCTCTCTCACCGCACCTGGCCCTGTCTGACTCTGCCCTTGTTACAATTTACGACCGTTAGGTCCGTGCTTCCCCTCACTTGACCCTGTCAACGCTTGTCCCATCAATCATCATTAGCAACCACTTAGGTCCCACATTACGGGGAGCCGTACTGTCCCTACATCACCCCGTACTGTCATTACACATATATCTCTATATATATAAAAGGGAAATTTGTGATTATGTGTGTCTGTTCAAAATGTTTAGCGTACTTCCCGACTGTACACCATGCAAAAATTCTAAAAATATACTTTTTTTTTTGGGCGGCGGGGGTGCTCAATAATGACTTTTTTTTGCACGGCAAGTGAGCTGTGACGTCACATCTATCACGTGACCCGCGCGTGCGGAAGCGTAACGCATTGTAGTGTAGTGGTTAGCGCGCTGTGCTACGAACCCAGCGACCCAAGTTCGATTCCTGCTCACGGCCACCACCAGTGACAATTATTTGAACCGGTCCTGGGCCTCCCCTAGGTCGACTCAGCCTCAAACGAGTAGCTGGTGTGCTGTGTGAACATCGCCACTGGGGGGACAAAGGCGGCCGGGCATGATGCTGGCCACCCACCCCCTCGTGTGCCTTGCCGGCCTTCATAGGTGCTCGCTAACAGCACTTGCCCCCTATAGTCTCACAGGTTACATAGGGGATCTTTATCTTGTGTGTGGGGGGGGGGCAGCAACTGCATAGCGATTCGCGTACTGCGCTACGAACCCGGCTACCCGAGTTAGATTCCCGCTCATGGCCACCACCACTCACGCTCACGGCCACCACCGGTGACGATTATTTGAACCGGTCCTGGACCTCTCCTAGGTCGACTCAGCCTCAAACGAGTAATTCATGTGGTGTGTGAACATCGCCACTGGGGAGACAAAGGCGGCCGGGCATGGTGAATCCAAGTCCCGGGCGAAGCCAGGTAGTAAAGCTAGTTAATATATAAATACACTAACCTTGTTTCTAAGTTGCAAATGCTGGTAAAAAACGAATGGCTTAATTTAGCCTTTCTGGCATTAATACAAAAACTAAGATGTTCAAACACCGAAGAGACACCTATTACAAGACATCAACTCTGCATTAACCACACATACTTGTGGTAAAACATGCAAACAAATATGTTTTGGTAATTTATGTATTATCCTTGAAACTGATTCGCCTATACCAGTATGAGTCTATTTTTTGGCTTTTATCTCACCAGTGCTATAGACCATAGAATGGCAACAATTAAACGGAACTTTTTATTTTACCAGGTAAAGCACACTGAGCTATATAGCACCTCTTATTAGTTCCACACCTCAGATTTTCGCACCATTCGTAGTCAACTGCTAATCGGAGGTGTAAAATCCATATGTAACTTTTTATGCACTGTGTTAAATCGGACCTGGGTCTTGTGTTTGTTCAATATTTTGGAAATATTTTTGGTTATTTCTGCTATGTAAGGCAAGGTGGTGGTTTTGATTGGATCTTCAGATGGCTCCTTCCTCACGGTTGGGGTGATGGCTTTGCGGATTGTGTGGTCAGAATATACATTCGCCTTGAGATCCTGGTGTACGTGTTTGAGTTCACTGATCAGGTGTTCATGGTCAGAGATACATTGAACTCTATGGTGTAGAGTTTTGATGAGGCAATTCTTCTGAGATGAATGGTGGTGGGAATCAGGTTTTAGGTAGGCGTCAGTATGGGTTACTTTCCTGTAGACAGTGGCTCATTGAGCCATCTGGTCTCTTTTTGATGAAGACATCCAAGAAAGGTAGCATGCCATCCTTTTCTATCTCCATCGTGAATTTGATTGCTGGGTGTATGGAATTGATGTGGTTGAGGAATTGTTTCAGAGCCGGTCGGCCATATGGGCAGATGACGAACGTGTCATCCATGTACCTCTTACACAAGGACGGGCATAGAGTGGATGCCTGGATGGCGTCTGTCTCAAATTTTTCCATGCAAATGTTGGCCACAACCGGAGATAAGGGAGAATCCATTGGGGTGCCTTCAGTTTGTTTGTAGAATGTTCCATTCCAGGTGAAGTATGTATTGGTGAGGCAGTGTTTCACCAGGGCTGGTACATCAGCATTCAGTCCTTGTTGTTCCAAATCTTCAATTATTGCAATGATATCGGACACAGGAACTTTGGTGAACAAAGAGACTACATCAAAACTAACAGGCAAATCACCTGGGGACAGTGAGATGTCTTTAATTGATGATACCAGGTGAGCTGAGTACAGAAGAGGTGGTCTTACCAGTGAATGCCTGCAAGGTCTCAGATATTGGGCCAGTTTGTGTGTGGGTGAGCCAATTGTGGAGACGATGGGATGAAGGGGTGTACCTTCTTTATGGATTTTTGGTAAGCCATATTGTCTGGGTGGTCTAGTAGCAGAAGATTTTAAGGAAAACCGTTTGGTCTGTTCAATTAGTGAAGCTGAATCAGTGATGATACTGTTCGTTTTTGTAACGAGGCAGTTGGTAGGATCTCTTTTAATTTTTATGTAGCTCCCATCATTAAATGGGTTCTGAATTTTGTTATTGTACGCGTTTTTGTCCATGATGGCCGTGGGCATTGCTCTTGTCGGTTGAGAGGATGATGATATCTTCCCTCTTTTTTATTGAGATCACTCAAAGCGCCCAACCTTACTGATGTTGCTGACTGGTATCTTCGCGCTTTTGAGGGTTACAGCGATTTCAGATCTTGTCACCTCAAGGTTCCCACTAAAAAAAAAAATTACGCAGGCGTTACATTGTGCGACATCGGAATAAATGTAATTATTAACAGGTTTAATTCTATTTGGGTAATGAAACCTATTCATGATCTGATGTCCAAAACCTAAAATAAGATGAACATGTAAGGATCATGTAAAATGTTGCAATAACTGTTTTCTCTTTTTCAGGAAATAACCATCTTCACCATGGTCGATGCAGTGTTAACTGCAGACAAAGTTCCTCTCAAGTACTCGGCGACAATTAGATGCCCACACGGAGTGGAGTGAGCCCTGCACTGCAGGAAAAAAAACGGGTCGCAAACACATTAGTAATTCGGTCTCACAGCACACATGTGCATTGCGCATACAAAAGCCTTGTCCAGATCACCAGCTCAAAAATAACTGTGAAAGCATGACTGAAAGAGTTGAAAAAATATGGCCACCCTACCAGACAGCAGTGAAATAAAGACACATGCAAACCGGTTTCATCCTCAGGAGGGCTCATCAATACAGCACTGTCATCAATGTTTACTGATGCAAAGTCTGCCTCTGGAAACCATATATGTGGAATCCCTACTTACACACGTCAGGGCCCATTAGACATAGCCCATCTGTATAATTAATAGGTTATATTGAGAGGGCTGTTACCTTTACATTATGGGGACTCATTAACTTGCCTAATGGCAACAATAATTCAAATGCAGAACAGAAAATAATTTTAGACAAAAGCTTCTCGTGGACAAACAAAATAATGGTAACATTTTATATTTTAGTGCTAAGATGTGTATGATTTTTTAAAAAACATTTTAGAAATGTTTTTGATGAATCACTTTTAGGTTATATTAGGTTAGTATTTGTTCCAAGGACCTCCTTTAGCTATATACATGGTATTTTTGTTGAATAGATGCTCAGAGTAATAAAAAAATAAGTGAATATAGGTAAATCAAATTGTTATTGTTGATATTTGTGAATTCCTTATTATGGAATAGGTAGCTGTTGTGCATCGTGAATACAGAGGAAAACAGGTCACCGCTTAAACCCGTAGATGAGAGCAGTTTGTTGTGTGTGGTGTTAATGTAAAAAAGTCAGCTTTGCTATGCATGTCGCGCCATTTCCAAGAATAATTGGTAGCCTTTTCATAAATTTTACCTCTATGTAATGTGTATTTCAGAGTTGTACATTATTTTACAGTATTCCAATGTACTAGAATACCATGAAATAATCTGTTTAGCACTACGTGGACATGTGCTGCAATCATAATTGAAAACATACAGATAATGTACACGGTGGCTCTTTGCCTTTGAGTTTTAGTTGCTTAATTACAGTAATTTTAAAACATTATTTATACTTAATACAATGTGTTATTTTTAGTTTTCCCGTTTTATGAAGTAATATTGTGAATGAGGCGTGTGTATTATCTTAATGTTAAATTCTACGACATTCTGTACGTGAAATTAAGATTAAAACAATGCATTGTCTGCTTCTTTAAGGTTCTTTTTCTAAATTCTCATAAATTGTGGTTTCAAGGTCATGTCCGAAGACATTTTCGTGTGGAACTTGCACCGCGCAGTGCATTAATCACCTATCGGCAACGGTTCTGGAAGATGACAATTGTTACAATTATAATTTGGGTTTAAATAGCATGTAAAATTGTAAATGATGCATCTGCATCTTAAGAACTGAATGTTACGGACATTTTTTTAATTTAAACAGTTTCTAATGATACCAGTTCACTTCATCTGAATCTAGTATCACTTCTATATTAATGTGTTCTGTGTATTTGTAAAGGTAGCTTAGTTTGAGAAATATGTATGTTGAACTTTTTTCACACCGTACGTAGCCAATCGTGGTAATCGGAGCATTTTGATCAACTTCAGGATGAAACAAGCTATTGTATAAGTCATTGTCTACATTTGGTGTCAGCCAGACACTACATCAATAGTAATTCAGGGCAAGTTTTATTTCAATAAATATGCAGGTGAACTCAATCTTTAGATGTGAAAATAAGACGTTTAAATTATCTATGTCCCCGTTTATTTTTGAAATGCTACAGTGCAGTATAAACAACAAATGAAAATTAATACAAATAAATAAATAACCATATATTTGCTGCCACGCCTTTGCAGACGTGCCTAAAGAAGGTAGTTTAATTCAGAGTAAGTGGTACCTGCTTGTTCAGGCACGTAGAACCAGAATGTTTTGAAATAGTATTTGCACCGTTCCTCTGCCAACATACATTGGTTTTCAAACAACATTGACAATGATGGTTTTGTGTACAATTCTCCAGATTTTTTAAACAAGAAATATAATGTACAATTTTATACAATGAGAAATGCGTTCATATCATGACACTGCCAAGTGTGAGAGTAGTTCAGGGAAGCTCCTCACCCACGCTAAAGTGAATGCACTTGGATAAGCAAAGTCGCACCATCTCGTTATCCCCAAAATGACTACCCACAAACCCAGACGTGGCTGAGGGTTAATATTCCATGCGGCGCTTCCTAGTCATGAAAAAACACTGAGGATAGAAACATTTCTATTTAAAGCTTTCATGATGGCAGGGATTCATATTCTTGGTTGTTTCGGTAAAGTCACGTAGAAGGGAAAAAACATTTATTTAATTTGATAGTTTTTTCACTTCTACGTGATTTTACCAAAAGAACCAAGGATAGAAACATTGTTCACCTTATCCTCTTCACTCACTTCCCTCCACCCCATTACCCCCGCCCCCCCATCCTCATTCTCCTTATTTCCACATCGCCCTTTCCCAGCTTAATCTCTCTTGCCACTCCCTAATCCGCTCTCTCTCTCTCACTGCCTGTCATGATCCCTCGTCATCCTCTTTCCATTTTGTTCTCCCTCCGCTCCATTTCATGTCCTTTCATTCTCTCCCTGCCCCTCTCCTCCGTTTCTTCCTCCCTCTCATCTCCCTCACCTCCATCGACCTCTTTCCCTACGTCACCTCCCACATGAGTGGTGAGTGATATCAGAAAAGACTGTGATGCCCCTTTCACTAAACTGCAGCGAACAATGTAGGGATGTATGGTCAACAACCCCATGACTAGACACGTAGGATTCCCGCAAGATGGAGATGCTACGGTATAAATCTTGCGGTACAAGATTTGCGAGCAACGTACATTGTTAAAACATCGTCATATCACAACTATCATTGCTCATTTAACTTTACAAAATGTGTTATTACCTGACAAAATGTGTATGAAATACTAATTCAAGTTAAAAATGTGTATATGTAAAGAACATGCTGGTACGCGTTAAATTAGTATTTTGATAAAACAAATTTGAGTAATTAATAGTCAATTATGATAATATTCAATTATCGTTCATACTGATTTGGTTATGGAATCACCTCACGTAAAACGACAGCATGTGAATTACAAGTTTGGGAGATGGCGGTGCTAATGGTACAGCGTTCGTGGCTCCTGTTGAGGGAGCTGCAATTTTATAACGGAGCTTTTCCTGCAGAATTCGAAGCACAAACATAACTCGATAAACATGTGACACAGTAAGGCAAAATTATACTATTACCAGTTTCGCAATCTCCAAATCGTGACATTTTATATCATATGAAAGTGATGTCGTAGGAGGGTTTTGTTCAGCAGTGGATTGACAGGCTGCATCGCGTGGAGTTCTAAAGGCTCTACCAAGACGTGCTTCAAATCAGATAGTCAAGCTCGATTTCATTCAATACACAGGGCAAACATACATCATCAGATGTAAACACGTCAATACGTTTGAAAGATGCCTGTCGCAGTCTTTTTTATTGAAATGCTGCAGTGCAGTAGGAGTGAAAATAAAATGTATGAACACAAATAAATAATCAAAGATTTCCTGCCACACCTTTGAACGCAGACACTGGGGGAGATGTGGTTTTAACGCGTGTGGTAATGGAACAGCCCTGTTCAGGCCTGTTTAGATGCATCATCTTCTGAAATAATGTTTGCATCATTATGTTCGCACATGCTGCTTTTAAAGTGACAGCAGTGGTCGTTTAGAGGCTAAGTCTCCGCCTATTTTATTTAAAAGAGAGGTTTTACAATTGCAGTGTGCATGTGCCCAGTGAAACCAGTCCATGATGAGATGGGAGTACTTGGTGGATAAGAAAATCATGTAGATGATAAGTTGTAATCATGTTATCCACAAATTGTATGTGGATGAATGTGTCATGTTACTCGTCTCTATCTTAAAAATCACAAAGGATAGGAAGATGCAGAACGCGATGCGGTGTCGTTGGGGCTTCGAGCCCCTGGCTGGGTCCAATGCTGGGGGCCGTCGTGCTGGGCCAGACATCCCAGCAGGGACGTCTGCTCTGGTGCACTTCGGGGACCTTGAATCACGCACGGCAGCATGGGCGATAGACGCGGGGTGATTCTCGCACAGAAAAACAAATGTAAGAGTAGATGACAGCAGCAAGCTTAATTATTGTTATTGAGATAGGAGCAGTGAGCTTTGATCTCTCTCCACAAGAAAGGTGCGGTGAAGCAGCCCCGTTCTTGCACCTCGCAGTCGCACCGACTGGTGCCTGCGTGACTCAGGTGTTTACGTTGAATCCGGTGCAGTGGCAGGCGTGTGTCTGGCATGAGTCACTATGGGAGGAAAACCTGAAGGTCACCAATATGGCTTACAAACTCCACACAGATAGGTGCCCAAGTCGGGAATTGAACCCAGGACTTTGCTGAGTACGCTGAGCAGAACCCTCGTCACCGACAAGGAGTACCAAAAATAAGGGCGTTAGAGGGAGTTTTTATTAATTGGGAAGCTTCTTGGCCATAGACACTGCATAGGCCTGGAATTTGCGGCGTGTGACAAATTCATTGTGGTAGGCAATTGTACATTGCATGCAATTTAATTCTATACAATTTAACCCTTTATACAGTCCAGATGGGATCACTCGCTGTAATTAAGGTCTGTGGAATGGCACCCAATCCCCGGCACTAGGTAACGCTGTAGCGTGGGCCATGATCAAATTCCCACATACATAATACTTTCACCAAGTTAATACAGAATTTATCAAATACTCTGGTTCTTTCGGTAAAGTCAGGTAGGTACAAAATTAATTAATTATATATTCACGTCCCGTGCAAAGATTGTATCCATTGTTGGCCTTCCATGTCTGAATCCAAACTGGCTCTTGCCAATATCCACCAGCTTCCTCAGTCTCCTTTGTATGATCCTTTCCCAAAGTTTCATGGTGTGACTCATCAATGATATTCATCTGTCGTTCCCACACTCTTGTACCTCACATTCCTGCGGAGGGAGCTGGTAGGAACGTTGGGTTGCTCAGTCAATGGCCAGGGTCCACGGCGGCGTGGTGTATTCCGCAAATATGGCCGACTGTGAGGGCGGGCACAAGCCGGCGTGAGTAGGTTAAACGTTGAGTTTTATAAGGGCACCACGGGGTGACCAGCCCCTCCCCACCCCTCCCACCCCCCACCCAGCCCCACCCTCCCCACCTAGCCCCTCCCCACCCAGCCCCTCCTCACTCTCCCCTATCCACCCAGCCCCACCCCTCCCATTTTTGGATGCACGACGGATGGACAACGGACGGACACAATAATCCCCTGTGGGCTGGTGGAACCAGGTGGTTCCTACCAGTAAAATGGGAACCAATGTACTATCTATCCATGCATCTGGCATTGCCTTCTCCATCCAGATTACACAGTATTTCAACACCGTTCTCCCATTCATTTAAACACATTGGAATCTCGTCTGGCTCCACTGCCTTATGATGTTCCATGCTTACCAGAGCCTCCACCACCTTTTCTCTGGCTATAGTATCTGAAACTACTTCAATTCTTTTGTGTTCCTCAACCATTTTGCATCTTGGGTTTTGCACATTCAGCAACTTCGCAAAGTATTCTTTCCATTTATCTTTAACCTCTATCTCATCCAAGATTGTTCGTCCTTCACTGTTCTTAACGAGATTCACGTGGTCGATGTCCATGGTCTTTTTCTCTCTGGCTCTTGCCAAACGGTATACTATCTTCTCGCCTTCTTTGTTGTCAAGCTACTAGTAGAGTTGTGCAAAAGCTGTTGTCTTTGCCATTGCTACCAATCACGTTGCCTCTCTTTTCGCTGCCAGGTATTCATCCAGATGGTCTTTCTCTCCTGTTCTACCTGTTCTTAAACTTGACCTTTTTCTCTCCTGTTGCCTTTTGTACTTCATCACTCCACCACCATGTTTCCTTCTGTTGCATCTGTCTTCCTTTACTCCCTCCCACTGGACTACCTGCTGCTCTCAGTATGAAAACTCGCCAGTTCCCACATTTCATTCACGCTGCTCCTTGGCCTTAGACTTTTTTAAGTTCTTCATAGCTTGCCTGCAGAAGTTTTCTTTCTCATTGTTTAGTCGCCACCACTTTACCCTACTACAGTTATTTTGTCTCACCGTTCCCTTCTTAACTCCTTTCACTATGCAATCTGCCACGTACTCTCTAGGGATTACTTTGTAGTTCTTCACTCCTT